GGACAAATGGCCAAGTGAAAACACTTTGAGAAGCAAACTGAATGTCCACACACGCTGATTGGCTGACAAAACATGCATCACACCCTCTCCTTACGCGCTGATTGGCTGACAAAACACGGGCTCTTCCAGTGACATGCATCACGCCCTCTCCTTACGCGCTGATTGGCTGACAAAACATGGGCTCTTCCAGTGACATGCATCACACCCTCTCCTTACGTGCTGATTGGCTGACAAAACATGGGTTCTTCCAGTGACATGCATCACGCCCTCTCCTTACGTGCTGATTGGCTGACAAAACATGGGCTCTTCCAGTGACATGCATCACGACCAAGACATGCAAGTGTGGGGAGAAGGGAAATACCCTGTATGTCAATTACACATGTACGTACATACACACAAATTATTTTTATGTATGTATATTGTATACACATTGTGTGTATTAACATACATTAACACTCTCACTCAGACTCACTAGAAAACAATTTACTATTAATAACTCATTTTTGAGTTGCCTATTTATTCTGTAGGTATAGTAAGCTGAAGGGTGCACATCCTATACATGCCCCACCAAAATATTACCAGGCCCCACTGGTGGGGCTTGTGCTCCATGTTGAGAATCATTGATCTAAGCTCTTTCTTGTGCTGTGACATTCGTGTTCCATATTGCAAACTAGGTGGACACATCTTTTGTATTTTCTGCTTCTCTAAGTTTGCTTTTTAAAAAATGTTTGTTTTAGCTTTTCAAAATTTGTGATCCTTTTGTCATGTATATTTGATTTGGTATCCAGCATTTAGGGCGCACAAAAGGGTAATTTTTGTGCAGGCTCTTGTTTGTAAATATCGTATTTATTTTTTATATCCTGTAATAAATGTTTGTTCTTTTAAATTTCCCATAATGGTTGAGTTTTATTTGTTTGCGCCTCGTTCAACTTTTGGGACAAGAAAGGTCATGTGCTCTCTTTTCCTATGCAACCCCTACGAATTAAATTTTTTATAAAAGGACTAGAAACCCTTGTTTATTTTATCACTGTTCCAAGAGTGAAATTTAATAAAAGGCAGTCATAAGGAAGAAAAATAAGGCAATGAGAAAATTGGCGCTTAGACACATCAACACAAACATTTAAAAAAAAAAAAAAAGCTGAAAATGTGGCCAAAGAAAGCGTGTTTTTTGCGTGGTCATGTGTTGTGTCCCTGGGTCTCACCTTACAAAACATGCAGGACAAAAAAGACTGGATAGTTTCCAGAAGAGAGTTGAAACTCCCATAAAAGGGTTGAGACTGAAAATTGAAAAGCATTATAAAGACAAAACAAAGTCACAACTAAAAAAAAAAACAAACAAAAAAAAAAACACTGTAACAAGCATGTAACAGACATGTAACTAACACAAATGTGTAACACAAGAATTTCCTGAAAGTCATGAAGCAGTTGCATTTCATATTTCTGTAGACTTGTCATTGATCATAGGGGCTGCAACCGCACTAAGTGATGCTACTGGGTTAAAGTAGCCAGAAAGTTTTTATAGGATCAGGGTGCTAGCCAACTAATGTGAAGTTGCGTGAGTACCCCACTTGTCTGCCAAAGAACTTCTGCTAATGATTGTCACAAAGTGATGCTAAAAGCAGTATAGAAGAAAAGAGTGCAATGTCTCACTCTCTTTTTCCGTTTTAGACATGCCTTTGGAATAGTATGTGTCATGTTTCCCCTTTGACAGAGGGCATTATGGTCGCCAACAGACCTAGTGTTGCATGGAACACAATAACAAACAATATACAGAAGCCTAAAGCTTACTTGCCTACACACATAACAAGCCAACAAAAAACGCATCTTAAATGTAAGTCTCTGAACATCTTCAACTGCACTTTGCGCACATCTATGTGAGAAAATGATATATAAATTTTTATATACCAGAATTTAATTAAATATAATATTATTATATTAATACAAAACAAAATTTAAAAAAAAAAATTTTAACAAAACAACATGCTCAATGTATTAATTAGTCACTACAATGATTCTGACTATAATTTTAATTTAAAAAATATCCCTTTCATTAAAGGTGAAAGCAATATGTTGTCACCTTGTAATCAGTGTTTTCCAATCTTTTTTAAACCAGCAAAGATTTTTAGGCATAAATATATAATCAGCGCCCCCCCCCACCTGTCAAATTAAATTTCGAATATTATACTGAATTCATCTTTCATAGAAAGATAACACTTAGGTATTAAATACAAAAATAATTTTAATATTGTTTTCATTTCTATTAGATATGCTGATTAAAATGCTAAAAAAAACTTTTACCTTTTATTTGATAGCTTATCTCAATGTTTTCAGTACGATGGTTGACTTTGGTGCTAACTGGTTAAGGCTCTTATTCTAGGTTCTATTCTTCTTGGAAGTAATTGTAAATCACTTTGTTTTGTAATTTGCAGGCTATTTCTTTATTTAGTAAGAAGGTGTGTAACTTTGCTGAGACCATATTCAATCATATAACAAGTTGGAAAAGCAATGAAGAAAAGTTTGATAGCTTCTTACAGCTTTAGATAACTCTCAGTAATTTCCTTTTCGAACCAATATTGAATAATTTTTGAAAATTTGAAAAAAAAAAAAAATGGATAAATGCCCATGCCCCCTTGAGTATGTTCATTGCCCCCCAAATGTAATAAAAACTCCCAGTGCCCCTTTTCAACAAAACAAAGCCCACAAGGGGACACTAGCACCCACATTGGGAAACACTGTTCTAGATTATAACTTTCTGATTACATTAGAATAGGCAAGTGTTGCATTCACAGACAATCGTGAGTATGTCCAGCTTACACACATAATCCCATTAGAGTTTATTGTAGGAGCGGAACTCTGTTGAAAGTCGAGGATCCCCTGTAATACAATTTTTCACTAATCGTCATGGGGGCCGTGTGTCTAGAATGTTTGATTTCTGACCATGAGATCCATGTTTGAATCTCACCATGGTCGATTTTTCGGTAGATGACTTTTTGATGTTATCGATCTGGAGGAGGCGATTCCAATGTGTGGCACTTTTGGAAAATGTCTGAAAAACCAAAACACAGGTTGACCCAAGCCTTGTGAATGAAATTGGGTAGACATATCTCTTTGGGAGCCATCGATAGTTGTGCTAGCACAAAGTCACAAGTCATTGTGACCGAGGATTTGAGCGTGCTGACCTTGTTCACACTCTCTCCAGAAACTGTAGTTTGCTCAGCATAGTTGCAGTACAAACCACAAGCGGGCTCTGTGGGTGTTGAACAAACACAAATGTGCCTGAGCAGGCGTCTGCAACAGGTATTGGCTAGCCGCCCTTGTAGACAAGCATTTTCAGATACAAGTGGCCAGCCATTATTATTAATCATCACAATAAAATTAATTTTAATTGACTCTGCCAGAGTTTGAACTTGGTTTCCTGATTCTACTCTCCATTCTATTAACCACTAGTCCACCCATAACTTTTATTTAACATCTTTTTAGTTAATCATTAAGACTTCTAAATATGAATTTTGTTTACTCCTTCATGACTTTTGGAACAGCTCATAGTTTGTTCATAAAAAGAAACATTTTAGAAATCAAATAATAGCAAATTGTCCTTAAAACAAATTACCTTCAAAACATAAGTATATTTTCATGTGTCATGTGAGAATAGTAATTTAATTCCTTGTTAGTTGAGTTTTTGTTTAGTATTTTTATTTAATACTAGCAGTAGAGCCCGGCATTGCCCGGGGATGTAACAGTAAAAGATAGATCAAGTATCGACCATCATAAAGACTGAAAAATAAAATTGACAAAGACTATTGTTTAAGGTTGATGGACACGCATGTCTTAATTAGTTTTTTGTTTTTGAAAAAACTACTCTACAACACACATAGAGAGACTAATGATGTAATGATGTGGACATTCCACACTACTTCAAATAAAAGGTTATGAAGGAAACCTCCCATCAGTACCGGAAAAAGCAATAACAGCTACTGGACTTGAGAAACGTATTTTCCTGAAAAATTGTGTTAAGAGAAAGATTTTATAAATTTCAACTGAAAGCAGTACTGGCTGCTCAGTCAATGAATGCCAAATCTTTCCTTATAAGGAAATCTCTAATATTAACATTACCATTAGAGTTTACAATACTTTGATCTCGGTCCTATTGAGACAGTATGGCAGAAAATTTTTCCCGTAGTCTTTTGACTGTTTTGGGGATCAATGCTAAGTTGTTGTTGCACTTTGTTAGGCAAGGGAAGATGCCACCTGCTACTAAAAGCACCTGTTCCCTGATTTTTGGCACATCAGTGTATATTCTGCTATAAATCTACTTATATACCTATACTGTTTTATCACATGTGTGTGTGTGTGTGTGTGTGTGTGTGCACATGTTTGTGTATGTGTGTGCATGTGCACACGTTTTTGTGTGTGTATATGTCTGTGTGTGAGGGAGAGTGAGTATATTTGTGTGGTTGTGTGTGTATGTGATTGTGCATGTCTAAGTATGTATGCTTAGGCTTGTGTATGTATGTTTGTGTACATGAGAGGAGTATATATGTTTGTGTGTGAGTGAGAGTGTGTGTATATTTGTGCATGTTTGAGTGCTCATGTTCAGGCTTGTGTATGTATGCATGCTTGCGAGTTGGGGGGAGTGTGCATATATTTGTATGGTTGCATGTGTGCATGTATGTGTCAGTGCGAGCGTGCATATTTAGGTTTGTGTGTTTGTGTCTATGTGACTGCGCATGTGTGAGTATGCATGTTTAGGTTTGTGTGTATATGTTTCTGTGTGGGGGTGTATATGTTTGTGCGAGCAGGAGAGTGTATATTTTTGTGTGGTTGTGTGTCTGTATATGATTGTGCATGTGTGAGTGTGCATCTTTAGGTTTGTGTGTAGGTTTCTGTATGTGGGGGTGTATATGTTTGTGAGAGGGGGTGAATATATTTGTGCAGTTGTGTGTCTGTATGAAATTGTGCATGTCTGTGTGTGTCTGCATCTTTAGGCTTGTGCGTCTTACCTCTGTTGGAGAGTTGGACATCTGTGGACATTTGGTAAAGTAGGCACTCGGGTGTTGGCAGATCTGGGTGGATTGAAGAAAAGACGTCAGCTGTTTACTGCTGTTTTTGGCACTCAAGCATGACGTGTAGATGACACAGAGAAAGTAAAACGGATAACACATCACTTGGAAGATGGCAGCCACAGAGAACACCTTGCCCGGACTCAGGGATGTGGATTCCACCAGGTGTGAATAGAAGAGGGTCTGAAAAATGAGCAAGATACAAACAAAAATAAGGATCACAGAATAAAAAAAATCAGTTTGACAGACACACACATTTATATATAGATACATGCAAACTCATAAAGAGGCACATATTAATTCTTTTTACAAAGTCCATCTAATCTAAGGCCCAAGAGCCGCTAAAGCTAGAGTATTACTGAAAGAGGCTGTTGAAAGTAGATTACTGTTGAACAGAGACTTAGAGGAAGCATTCTCTCAGGAGACTGTCCTACAAAGTAACAGTTCTTGGTTTGATGGATTCATTTTTTATGATTTATCTACCCTTTTAATGGTTATTTAAAGCCAGAAAATATTTTTAGACTGTAAGAATTTCTTTTTTACTAATTAACCAATAGCTGGGTGGAGAAGAGATGAATTCATGCCTAATAAGAATTTGATAAACAAAAAATTATAACATGGATATAAAGTAGGGGATCAATATATAAACTGATCCCTCATTTTGTAGACCCTGTATTTTATATCCATTTATATTCCAGTGCCTGTGTAGCTAATCAGTTTTTCATTGATTGGTTGATTCATTTTCCACAGCTTATCAATAACCAAGAAATTATAAATGGATATAAAGTGGGGGATCAATTCTACGTTATAATCTATATATAAACTGATCCCTCACTTTGTGGTTACGTAGTTTCTATATGTTCATATTCCAGAGAATGTAAAGAAATCTAAGACATGCCTTTGTAGCTAATCAGTATTTCATTGGTTGATTCATTTTCTACAGCTTATCAACAACCAAGAAATTATAAGTAGATATAAAGTGAGGGATCAATTCTACGTTAGAATCTATATACAAATTGATCTCTCACTTTGTGTCCACGGTAGTTTCTATATATTTATATTCCAGAGAATGTAAATAAATCTAAAAGACATGCCTGTGTAGCTAATCAGTATTTCATTGGTTGATTCCTTTTCTTCAGCTTATCAACAACCAAGAAATTATAAGTGGATATAAAGTGGGGGATCAATTCTAGATTACAATCGCTATATAAACTGATCCCTCATTTTGCAGCCACGGTAGTATCTATACATTTACATTCCAGAGAATGTAAATAAATCAAAAAACATCCCTCAGTATTTCATTGATTGGTTGATTCATTTTCTATGGCTTATCAACATTATCTAAAGACAGGAAATATTTTTAGATTCTAAGAATCTCTTTCTCTTTTTGAAGATAATAAGAGTTTAGTCCTACAAGTTTTGCTAATTAATCCATAGCTGGGGGAAGAAGAGGTGGATTCATAACTTTCCCAAGGGTATTGGTGCATAAGTGTATATTCCCTTATGCACCAATACCCGACTGGAATTGGAACTTGGCTCTCTGATTTCCAATTCAGAGTCATTATTTATTACAACACCTGCACATCCAAGTTCACAGCACCTTGTATTTCAAAGTGATTACCCATCTAGGTATCGACCAGGTTTGACATTGCTTAACTTTTGGTGTTTCAATGTGATATGGCCATAAGCCTGGAATATGAAAGAAATATGGATGATTCGACTCCATGGATGTAGAATCGTGATTCCTAGCTGTAATGGTTGGAACTAAAGAGTAGAGACCATCTGAACACTTGCCATGGAAATATCGAAAGAGTCATGATAAGCTTACAACATCTGTGTAAAAAAGAATGCAGAGTGGAGACTATATCCTTGTTAATGATTTCCAAGGCTGAAAAGTGAGGATCGTGCAGCTCCAGTACAGACATGTCAGCAGTAGACTATTTTTTTGTTTAATCTGACTCTTGTAATGATAAAAAAGAATAGTCTTTAAATTTCAGGTACTTTCTGGAAATAATACAAGGAATGAAAATATTTTTCCTGTTTTTTAGTGATGGAATTTTCTAGGAGTTATTTGGACGTGTGGAGTGAGTTTGAGTTCCAATAGACGTTCAAAGTAAGGAGTCTCATAGAAAATACAATCGTCAGGGTCATCTCTGTAATGATGAAATTGTGGAGGGCCATGAAGAGATAGGCAAGTGAGGAAGAACAGAAGCTTGTGTAAATGGTTGTCAGAATGAGGATTAGCAGAGATTCCTAAAAGACAGAATTTGTTAAGAAAAACAAAGGAAAGGAAATGAATGGAAAGAAAAATTGAAAATGCCCTGAAGGGACATAAGCAGAAGAAGAAGAAGAAGAAGAAGAAGAAAGAAGAAAGAAGAAGAGAGTTGAAAAGAAAAGAGAAGAAAGAAGAAGAAAGAAGAAGAAGAAAAAGAAGAAGAAGAAGAAAAAAAAGAAGAAAAGAAGGAGAAGAATAAAGAAGAAAAAAAAAGAAGAAGAAAAAAAAAAGGAGGGGAAGAAGAAAAAGAAGAAGAAGAGAAGAAAGATTTTTAGAAGAAGAATATAGAAGAAAAAGTAGAAAAGAAGAAAGAGTAGAAGAAGAAGAAGAAGAAGAAGAAGAAGAAGAAGAAGAAGGAAAGAAAGAAAAGAAAGAAGAAGAAGAAGAAGAAAAAGAAGAAGAAGAAAAAAAGAAGAAAAAGAAGAAAAGAAGAAGAAGAAGAAGAAGAAAAAGAAGAAGAAAAAGAAAAAGAAGAAGAAGAAGAAGAAGAAGAAGAAGAAGAAGAAGAAGAAGAAGAAGAAGAAGATTCATCCTTAAGAAAAAGAAGAAGAAAAAGAAGAAGAAGAGAAGAGAAGAAGAAGAAGAAGAAGAAGAAGAAGAAGAAGAAGAAAAAGAAGAAGAAGAAGAAGAAAAGAAAAGAAGAAAAGAAAAAGAAGAAGAAGAAGAAGAAAAAGAAGAAAAAGAAGAAGAAGAAGAGAAGAAGAAGAAGAAGAAGAAAGAAGAAGAAGAAGAAGAAGAAGAAGAAGAAGAAGAAGAAGAAGAGAAGAAGAAGAGTAAAAGAAGAAGAAGAAGAGTAGAAGAAGAAGAAGAAGAGAAGAAGAAGAAGAAGAGAAGAAGAAGAAGAAGAAGAGAAGAAGAAGAAGAAGAAGAAGAAGAAGAAGAAGAAAGAAAAGAGAATAAGAAGAAGAAGAAAGAAAAGAGAAGAAGAAGAAGAAGAAGAAGAAAGAAAAGAGAAGAAGAAGAAGAAGAAGAAGAAAGAAGAAGAAGAAGAAGAAGAAGAAGAAGAAGAAGAAGAAGAAGAAGAAGAAGAAGAAGAGTAGAAGAAGAAAAAGAAGATTAAAAGAAGGAGAGTAGAAGAAGAAGAAGAAGAAGAGTAAAAGTAGAAGATGAAGAAGAAGAGTAGAAGAAGAAGAAACTTATGTAAATAGATAGTAGAACAGGGATTAGGAGAGATCTCTAAAAGAATTTACTAAGAGCTCCAAAGGAAAAGAAATTGTGGAGAGCTACAATTGCCAAAGTCCTGAAAGGACAGTACATAGAAGAAGAAGAAGAAGAAGAAGAAGAGGGGGAGGAGGAGGAGAAGAAGAAGAAGAAGAAGAAGAAGAACCTCTTGAAGCAGAAATCCGAAGTCTTGAGTCCTTGCTTGCATATTAGGAAATTTTTCTTAAGCATATATGTGACTAGATAAAAAAGTACATTTCAATTAACCCCTCCACCAATACATTTATTATACCCTCCTCCTCCTCCTTCTTCTTCCTCTTCTTCTTCTTCTTCTTTTTTTTTATTACAGTCCACGTTGTGCGTCTGTTTAATTATTTTCTTTTTTAAATATTATCGTGTTCATGTGGTTTTTCTAAAAAAGAGTAAAACATCAAGAGGTTATTTGATAAAAATCGCCTGAGGATATTGTAAGGTTGAAACAAAGGTAACCGAGCTTGTGTAAATGGATGGCAGAATAGAGATGAGGAGAAAGAGTGAAAAGACACACAATTTAATAAGAGCTAAAAGGACAGGTAATTGGGGAGAGTCATGATCGCCTGAAGACGCATAGAAGTCTACACAATGATGAAAAGGTACTAGCTTGTTTTTGACGGTATTGAATGTTACAAGTCAGTTTTTTTCCCTGCATTGAGCTGTTAGAGCTAAATCAGTGGAGAGATCAGCAGCCAGGCTTTGGTCATTTGCACATAAAGACACACAAACGTCCATAATGACACACATACATACACGTATAAAGACACACAAATTCAGAAAGACATGCATATGCACTAAAGACACACATATACATTAAGATATAAAAATACATACATACAAAATGACAGACAGAAGTACATACACATACACACACACACACACATAAAGACATACTTACAGAAAGATGCACATACACAGATACATTAAGATGCCTATAATAATAATAATAATAATTGCATTTTTTGATGAATCTTAATTCTTCAGTTAATAATTAAGTAAGCTCATGCTGAGTTTTACAACAATAAAATATCTATAGAAATTCCCTTATCACATCATCAAATATTTAATAACTTTAACAAAATATTGCAATAGCATCTGTCTATATTTCTGAGATGAAGTATTATGTACACTATTTACATTATTTGGACTATTGTGCTCATCTTCGTTGCCATATTTATTACAACGTTTCAGTATCTGTCTATATTTCTGAGATGAGGTATTATGTACATTATTTATATTATTCGGACTATTGTCCTCATCTTTGTTGCCATATTTATTACATTTCGGCATTTCAGTAACTTTCTGTATTTCTGAGATGAGGTATTATGTACACTATTTACATTATTTGGACTATTGTCCTCATCTTTGTCGCCATATTTATTACAACGTTTCAGCCATTCAGTATCTGTCTATATTTCTGAGATGAGGTATTATGTACATTGTTTACATCATTCGGACTATTGTCCTCATCTTTGTGGCTATATTTATTATGTTTCAGCCGTTGTACACTCCAGCCTTCTTTAGGTGGTTGGAATGTCGAACTGAACCCTTTATTTCGCTCACTGGGGTAGACTGTTCTAGTTCCATGTGCCATGTTTAATGGATGTCAGTTATCAGTTATCTCCTGTTAATT